AATCCAGCTCCCCGCATAGCTTCTGGCAGCCAGTATCAGCTCTGCTGCTAATCCGCATCCAGGAGGGAAAATTGTGGATACACAAATATTTCCAAACAGCATATAGGATTTTACACTGTCCAACTCCATTATTGTCAAATGGACATCTTCCCCCTGCTTTTTTCATTCATTTACAATAATCTTTAATTCCAATTGAGTTAATTAAATTGATTGCTTGTCAAAGATGTCCTCCACGCAAATTTTAGCATTTAATGCTTTCTGCCTGGAACTTGCTTCCAAATTCCGATAAACCGCCACCCTCCTGGGCTGCCAACTTTATGGTACCCCTCCTATGTCTGGGATACCCTTGGAGTAGCTCCCCCATCGCCACCTGGATGTCTAAATCAAAAGGCATCACTTCTGGTCCTTTTATTTGCCTTCATGCTTTTCCTTTTCCCCAAGATCTTCTTCAGATGCTAGCTTGTAAATTCTGACCATGTGTGGGGGCCTGTTTTTGCCCCCGAGGCTCTGTGGAAGCTGGAAATGGGCCTGTTTCCGGCCTCCCCGAGTCTCTGTGCGAGCCCGGCATTCACCTGCATCCAATACGGGCCGCGTGGGGACTCCGGGGAGGGGAGGGGACTGGGGGGTTCTCCAAACTGCGCAGCAGCATCTTCGCGAGGGGGCTCTCCCGGACCCCTGCGGACCAGCCCTGCCGGGCTATGGCTTCAGACTTGCCTGAACATCTAAGTGGAGGCAAACTTCTGGGGAATGGCCGGCAGGAGCCGAGGGGCAGCTGTTGCTTCCTCCCTCCCCCCGTCCCAAAACACAGACCCTCCCCGCTTGAGGAAGGACTGCAAGATCGGCAGCAGAGCCTCTTGGCAAACTCCCTCTGGCCTCAATGCAGCTGCTTCTTTGCTGCCATCTGCCGGCCAGGCAGGAAACAGAATCAGAATAGAGCTGGGAGGGACCTTAGAGGTCTTCTAGTCCAGACCTCTGCTCAGGAAAGAGATCCTACACTGTTTTGGACAAATGGCTGTCCACTCTTCTTAAAAACCTCCAGGGATGAAACAGCCACAACGCCTGAAGCCGGTCTATGGTTCGTTGTCCTCACGGCCAGGAAATTCCTCCTTCGTTCCAGGTTGCTTCTCTCCTTGATTGGATTCCATCTGTTGCTTTTTGGTCTGCCTTCAGGGGCTTTGCAGAATAAGTTGACCCCCAACTCTTCTGTGGGGCAGCCCCTCAAATCCTGGAATACTACTTCTATATCCCGCTAGTCCTTCTTTTCTCTAGACTGGCCAAACCCAAATCCTGCGACCATTCTTCATGTTTTAGTCTCCAGGCTCTTAATCATCTCAGTTGCTTCTCTTTGTACTTTTACCAGTCTCAACATCTTTTTTGTAATGTGCTGACCAAAACTGGATGCAGGATTTCAGATGTGGTCTTACTAAGGATTTATAAAGTGGTACTATGCCTGCTTGTACAACCCAAGGTTTGCATTAACTTTCTGGATTGCTGCCGTGCACTGTTGACTCACGTTTAAGCGATCGTCCAGGAGGACTCCAAGGTCCCCCTCACACTTACTGTTTTTGAGCCAGGTTTCCCCTAATCTGTTCCTGGGCCTTTGGCTTTTCCTGCCCAGGTGTAAAACCTTGCTTTTCTCCACATTAAATTTCATGTTGTTGGATGGGGCCCATTGTTCAAGTCTGTCAAGATGTTTTTGGATCCTGAGCTTGTCTTTTGAGGGGTTGGCTGTTCCTGCCAGCTTGGTGTCATCTGCAAATTGGATGAGTTCCCCTCCTCTAAGTCATTGATGAAGATATTGAAGAGTCCTGGGCCCAAGACGGAACCTTGTGGTACCCCCACGGCTGGTTTGCCCAATTCCTGTTCATCTGGCAAGCCTTGTGAAGAGCTGGCTATGCTGATTGGGGAGGCCGGCAGCCCAAGAATGGCCACCAAACGGTTTCTGGCACCGTGGGGAGATGTGAGCGAGGGGAGGAGACCCCTCCCTCTTCTCCCAATGTTCTTGCTCTGCCACCTGGAGGTTCCTAGGAGTGCCTGGCCCCAGTGGAGCCTCCCCAGTTCTGCAAAGCTTCACTCCCAGCTAATGTGACAAAAGCAGACGCATGTGCACATTCCCTGGGAATAGTGCTACTTTAACCAGTTGTTGAATGCTGGCCTCTTTAACCTGGTTAATTTAAAGCTCTTCCTTCTTCCCTCCTTATCACAAGGGTTGACAGCTGCTGCTCTGGAAGTGCCCGGCTTTTAGTAAGTCCATCCAATTTTCTTTTCAAGAGCCCTTCAATGTTTACAGCATGGAAACACCTCTGTGGTGCAGAGCCAGCTGGGGGCTGGGCTGCTGCAGAGGAAGCCAAGCGAGGGGTTCAAAGCAGCCCCCCTCAGGCACTGCAGAGGGAGCGGCATCTATCGGGAGCAGCACCCAATGTGTGATGGAATTCTCTCAGGGCTCAGTCCAGCTGACACCCCCTCCACACACACACCCCAATCCCACCCGCGAAGCTCACGGTCCTTCCACTCAGCACTTTGCAGGGATGAACTTTAGGGCAGCCATATCATCCTTGCTCTTTCCTGTCGAAGCACCGCCTCTGAACACTACACGGCAGGGCCCCACCTTGGCATCTTCTCGGTTTTGTGGCCAACTCCCAGAATTCCCCAGCTACTAGAGAATCCTGGGAACCTGAGGCTTGACTAGGTACAGCTTTTCCCATTTTGAGTTGTATGATGCCAGAGTTGCATAGCTGCCCCTCACTTTTCCCAGTAAACACAGGTCTGTCTGTGTGTGTGTGTGTGAGAGAGAGAGAGAGAGAAAGGGAGGGAGGGAGGGAGAGAGAGAGATGGGGGGGCCAGTATGGGACAGAGTACCAAAAACTCCTGGTAAAAATTTGAGCACTTCATAGGGCAAGCAGGGTTACCATTTTGGAAGCAAAACTGAATTATATGATCCGAGTGAAAATGGGAATTGAGCATAATGAAAAAAGCCAAATTCAATAAACTTCAGAGGTGGTTTTATCCATGGATAATTAACTCTGATGTCTTTCTAAAATGAGAATAATTGAAAACAGGGATTTAAAGTTGATTCATGGAAGCTTCCCCAAGATATTTATTATTGCAAGCCCAGAAGATCTGTCTGGGTTTTGTCACTTGGGATGACTAAACTTGGTATCCAGATGTTTATTTAAGTTGCTCCCACATAGCTCTGAAGTCAGTTAACAGAAGGTTATCAGGGAACAGCCCCCGCAAATCGTTGACTAATATTCTCATTTCTTTTGCAACTTTGATGTTTTCTTTCATTAAAATTCCTGGCCCTTTGCCACTAGGGGAAAAATCTGCTTGGTTTGCAAAAAAGCAGCCTGAATACATGACATATGATTGTGCCTTCAGTCTGAGGACAGCCAAGATTTTTTATCACCAACCCTTGCAAAAATTGATGTGGTGACAATTGGAGAATTAGAATGGAAAAAGAATAGAATAGAAAATAAGATTTTTCACAATTTTATTAGGAATAAACTCCAGCACTTGAATTTAGGTGAAATGACTCCTTTATATAGAAAAGGCAAAACAAAATAATCCAAAGACGCATTTATCAACAATCTGCTATAAAACAAAGGTAGGTGGTAGCTACCACCTTGGACAAACCGATCTTCCCCAGAGAAATCGATGCAGAGCTAAGGAAGGCCTCTGGAGCAGTGTTTTGTAAACCTGGCAATGTTAAAATGTGTGGATTGGGGAATTCTGGGAGTTGAACTCCATACATCTTAAAGTCAAGTTTGAAAAACATTATACAGGAACAAAGGGAACAGCACAACTGGAACAAAATACCTGCCTGTGTGTGGTTGTATGTGTGGGGGAGAGAGCAGCCATTGTTGTGGTAAGTTGAATCTGTTCACTGGGTTTATTGGAAAACCCCAAGAAGACTGAATGGAAGAACCCCCTGCCATACCTGGGGCACCAGTACAGCCAAGCCAGTCAGTGGGAAGGAAGAAAAAGTAACCAGAAAGGGAGAGGCAGAATTAACTGTTGCAAGAAAGAAGCAAAATTCAAGAAAAGGACTGTAATTCTTCCATTCTTCAGGCTGATAACAAACCACTTATTTTAAATGCCAACCAGTGGCTCTAGAGCTCCCAATTTAAGCAACGAAGGGCAGGGGCAGAGGAGCCCCCTCCCCCCAATCGGAAACCCTCACTAAGGCTACACTTTTGTCTGGGAGACAGTCACGTGGGCTGAACTATGTTGCACTTAAGAGTTTATGAGGGTCACCCGAGCAAACAAGGCCTCTTTAAGTGCCCCCGTCACTCACTGAAATGTTAGTAGGGCAAAAGTTGGATCTGAAACCCAGCTCCTCTTTCGGGAAAGCAGAACCAGCAAAATGCCCACCCAGCCCAGGGGGCCTCCCCCTTAGCCAAGGGCAGCTTCCCCCAAGGTTACGAAAGCAACAGAAACCTCTCTGGAATGAACACCTGGACAGCTGCGGCCCATTCATGTCGGACTCTCCCACAGGACCTCTTAAACCAGCCTCCCCACCAGGCTTGTGGGATTTCGGCATCTATAATAGAAGCCACCTAGAGCAGCGGTCACCAACCGGTGGGCCGGGGACCACTGGTGGTCCACAAGAAAATTTTGGTGGGCCGCAGAGAAATGTCCCCCCAAAGCAATTAATCCAGGCTGTGCGGGAACACAGGGCTGCACCGTCCACATGGCCCACCCACCCGCCGGCCCCCACCCTTCAGCCGAGCGCAAACCCTACCTTCCGTAGAGCTATGCAAGCTGGAACTGGAAGGTAAGACCAACTGCGGGGGAGGGAAATCCACCCTGGGCTGGCTTGCTGACATTGGTGGGGAAGTCGGTCCCATATTCCAGAGCTGCCATAGTCACAGGACTGGCCCTCATCCCGGAGTAGCTCCTCCAGTCCATGGCAGCTGGGTGGAGGAGCAGCTGCTCTGGGATGACCAAAGGGCCAGCCCTGTGACTACGGCAGCTCTGGAATATGGGACCGACTTTCCCACCAATGTTAGCAAGCCACCGTCAGCCAACATTCATATGAGTGGTCCGTGGGATTTAAAATTATGAGTTTGGTGGTCCCTGAGGTCCAAAAGGTTGGCGACCTCTGACCTAGAGGACTTAGGGCTTCGAGGTCCCAAATCTTCCCTCAGGGCCAGCCATTTGGGGAGGACAGGCGGGACACAGTGTTCCTTTCACCGAGCAGTAGAGAGAACCCCCCTAATGCAGGATATCTTTTTCCTCCTGGAGATAACAAGAAGATCCACATAGTGCACAAAGGTCCCAAATTTTAATGTAAATTAAAAAGAATATAGAAACAATTCTAATAAAAACATATTGCAGCCTTGCACTGTGTTTGTTTTGGAGCAACCCTCAATCGAGAAGACTCTAAGGCAGCTACAAAATTTCTGCTGCTCCTCTATAGCTTATCTTCAATCCCAGCACCTGGAAAGCTGTTTGGTCAGGTGTTGCTCTCCTCTCCCGATGCTTGTGATGAGCGACTGTCAGGCTCCCGAGCTGTGCTGAGCCCAAACCACAGCCAAGCTGCCCATCACTGGGCAACTTTAGGCAATAGTGATGCTGCCCCCAGGCAAAGCACACTCCCGAGGGGCTCTAAGCATGGAGAACCTCTTCAGCAGGGCCCGTCTCTCGCCTGCCAGGCAGTTCTCTTCGGAATTAATCTTCAGCTGAGCTGTCCTCCTCTTCATCCCTGACTTCTCTGTAGCCGGTCATCACCTGCCCTTCTGGCTCATAGTGAACCATCTTAATCCCAAGCCTTTCAGCTAGCTTTTGGGCAGCCACCTTAGCTTGCATCTCCTACAACAAGAAAGAAAACCTTGCATCAGACAAATGAATTAGTGTCAAACAAAAAGCTAAATTAAATTACTGCAAAGCAAGCACACTTAAAGTATGCAGCTCACTAGAGTCCTTTCAGGAAAACATTGCAGAGGGGGGGAAGGAAGATTCAAAATAAACGGCAAGATTTTTTTTTTTGCCAGATAACAAAGAGTCATGGAAAGCATTTGGATATCAAAAGAGCATCAGAATGAGAGTGAGCTAGAAAGCAGCAATGACAAAGGAAGCTTATTTGGATGGAGAAGTGGAGAGAGAAACTCCCCAAGCTCAGGACTGAGACTTTTGTTCAAGCACACATCATAAAACAGGTACATCGCAGAGTAAATAAAGCCAGGCGTTTCATCAAAGCCTTTACAGAGTCATGTTTAAAGTGAAGGCGTCCAGAGGAAGAAGTTTAAATGTTCCAATCGCTTGAAGCATTTGGGGGAAAGGCGGCAGCGATGCTGGGAACGGACTTGAGGTGCACTTGTCTCTCCTGTATTTAACTAACCAAACGGCGCAATTATTTTATAGGGTCCGGTCACTCACCGGACCCCACGCCCCGCCCGCCTTTCCCCCAGTTCTGCCGGGCACTCAAAGCGCCCGAGAGACAGAAGCCACTGCGGGGGGAGAGACCCGGGGTGAGTTGGAGCCTCGCTTCCCAGCCGCGCCCCCCCCCCCCCGCCCCCCCCCGGGGCCCGCTCCCCCTCCGCACCTGCCGGGCCTCCTCCTGACGGAGCTGGATGGCCACCGACTCGGCCAGGGGCAGCAATCGCGCGGGCGCGTGGCGCAGAGGGGGCAGCCGGGCGGCCGACGCGTCCTCCGGGCGCCGCTTCTCCCTCCGGGGGGCTCCGCCGGGCCGCCTGCGGGAGGGAGCTGCTTAGCGGGGGCCGAGAAAGAGCCCGCGGGACCCGACCCGACTCCACCATACTCACGCGTCGGCCCCGCACCGGCCTCCCTCCTTCGCCGCCAAAGAGAGGCCGGCCAGCGCCAGCGCCGGGGGAGCCGCCTCCGGGCCACCGCCGCTCCGCCGCCGCCGCTGCTCGCGCTCCGCCACCGCCGCCCGCAGCCTGGCCGCGCACTCGCGCACGCGCTCACCGCCGTCGGGCAACCGGGAGACCACCGCCCTGAAAGGCACGAGGCAGAAGCTGAGTCCGCGCGCAGCGGGCCGCCCCCCGCCCAGCCGCCCGCCCGCTCCTCCGCCCCTCACCGGTCGCCCAGCAGCCTTTCCTGCCGCAGAAGCATCTCCCGCAGCTCCGGCAGGCTCCGCCCGTTCAGCGGGTTAGGCTCGGGCTTCGACATGCTGGCAACAAAGGACCATCGACGGCGGCCGCAGCGCTCTTCCGCCGCCTGCTGGGCGCCGCCATCTTTCAGGAAGCCGATTACGGCGGCCGGGCGGGCCAAAAGACTCGGGAGTTGCGGCGCCTCTAGAAGAGGAAGCAGCGGGCTTACTTCGAGCATGCGCAGAGAGGGGGCTAATTGCGAGCTGTCCCGGGCGGGACGCCCCCTGCTGGGCCAGCCGTGCAATTGCCTCCTCGGCTTCTGCGCCTCGAGGTCCCCGCGCGCGGGCGCGCTCCGGGGCTGGACCTGCGGCCGCCCGCCGAGGGGTCCGGATTCGGATCGGCAGCTTGCAGAAGCGGCGCCCCCACGAGGGCGCTCCCGGGTGGAGAGGAGATCTGGCCGCGGCGGGCGGGAGCCTCTCTGGGCGGGCCCGGTGGTTGCTTCGGCTTGGCCAGGTGCCCAGCACCGTTCAGGCGCAACTCTGTTTTTCTTGTTTCGGGCAGCCTGAAAATTCCCGTTTCTAACTCCGATTTGAATGTAACTCGTCACAGGTTATGACCAATTAGACAATTGTTGGTATATAGCATTTATTTCACCTTTCTATGCATACGATGCACTTAAAAATAATGTGATCTTACTAAAAGTAGTGGAACAACATAGAGAACAACAACTTTATTCAAGGGTCTCTGTGACGTCCTGGGACGTTCCGTTAAAAGACCTTAAGGGATAAATGCGTAGGAAATCTGGGCTTATAAAACTGCAGATCTGAACTGGATCTTTACAAGCAGCATGTACTGGCACGTTAGGCCTGGGCAGAGTTTCCTGGATCCATGGAAAGGCAGGTGTGGAAGGCTCCCCTGCGCAAAGCAGCGCCTGCAAATAGTGAGGTGATGAGCAGAGGGCCCTTAGCTCAGAAAGCTGGAGGGGCCAAACCTTTACACGCCCACACAGAGGAAGGCTTTCACTGGGTACTTGTGGCCTCGTCCATGCCATGTGGCAACCTCTTTCGGGCTGTAGCTGCCGCCAGAAGCCAAGTCACCACAGTGACTATTTTTCCAACAGAAGCATGAAAATCTGCCATCCTGGATGAAGTTTGGATCCCGGATCCATTTCTTTTCCCAGAATCCCTGGACAGAAGCCTCTTGCAAGGCGCAGCAGGGCTGCCTTCTCCCCTTTGTGGCCTCGCGGGCCTCAGAAGCGGCCCGCCTGCTTGCTCCCCTCCGCCCATCGAGCTAGCCGGCTGGGCATGGCCTCACTGGCAGGGGGCTGCCGGGCCCAGGGGGTGGTGCTTGGAAGAATATTCCAGGACTCGCATGAATGGACGGTAGGTCCTGGCTGGCTTCAGCACTTCCAGAGGCAGCTGGCTTCCGTTTGGGGGGCTGTTGGGACAGAAGGAACCTCACTGTAATTCACCGCACAAATATTAGGCAGGTGGACGGACTGGAGGTACAAACCCCTGAGCTCAGGAGGAGGGAGGCAGAGTCACGAGAAGGCTTACAGGCAGTTGCCAATCTCATCTCTCCGGCTTAAAGCCCTTGTAAATTAACTTTGGTTTATTAGGAAAATTAAAGACAAGGCAGCTCGTAAACAGCCTGTCAGGCCAGCCTTGTCGTGCACAGAAACCTTTCCACCTGCAGCGCCCCCTGGGTGGAACGTGCCAGTTGGCATAGTTGGCAGGCTGGAAGGGCAGGGCTGAGCCTGTGGCCAAGGCCTCGGCCCGCTGCTGGCGGGAGGCCCCCTGACAAAATGCAGCCTCTTGGGGATTCCAGCCTCACCCCCTGTGGAAGACCACCCCCCAGCTCCCTCCCGGAGACCCTCTGCAAAGGAGTCCCTGGATGGCTTGAGGCTGCTACCTGGCAGGGAGGTCACATTCCACCCCAACGTCTCTGGTGTCCACTTCAGGCCTGGATTGGGTCTCCCGCAGGTAATCCAAACGGTCCTGCAGTTCCTTGTTCTGAAAGACACACAACGCAGTCCTGTCTCCGCCTTGCCTGCCCTGCCAGCCGAGCCCTCTGTGCCCAGGAGGAGAGAAGGGCAGTGTCCTCCCAGGGGAGACGCAGAACGTCACACTTCTCATTTTTCTAAGGCTGCACTTCCCAGGGGTTCTTGCAAGGTGCAGGGAGGAGATGCTAACTGCCCAAGGGCCCCCCTGTTTCATTCTCCCACTGATCCTGTGAGGCGAGCTAGATTGGAAGCGGGCCAGCGAGGGGCCCAAGGGGTTTGACGACCCAGAACCTGAACCCAGCCTGGCGCTCGGGGGATCCGGCACCGTCTCCTGGCCAGCCTTCAGGAAGCCTAGGATGAGGGGGGGGGGTTGAAGTGTGATCGGAGGAAGGTCAGGGTTACGGATGAATGCAGACATCCTCTGCTGAGGGTCTTCAACAGCTGGATCTGAAGGTGGGCCCTGCCCAAGGAGGCCGATACGGCCCAGGAAAATCAAAGCCAGTCGTCGGAATTAAAACCACGACTGAAAGAGTTTAAGGCAGCTGAAACAGCCCCAGCCCCAGAGACTTCACGCAGGGAAAGCGAGGACCGAGTGTAGCCAGTAACGATCATGTTCTGTCAGTTAATCAAACACTTACCTCTCCCTCAAGAAAAGAGATTTTCTCTAAAAGTTGTAATATAAAGATTTCCTTTTCTTTCAACTTTCTCTTTTGTAGCTCTATCTATGGAAAAAGAAGAAAAAACAGTCACCCCAGAAAAGGCCACAGCATCGTTCACTTGACCCACCGCGGAGACGCTGCTGCGGTTGGAGCCTCTTCCCGGTCCGTTATCTTCCGACAGTGGAAGGAGGGGTCTTAAAACGTTTTCTGCAGAATACAGTTGGGTAATTTTCAAATTGCGATTGGGGCATAGGTAAGTATTTAGCACCAGGAAACAGAATTTGCTTTAGGAATGATTTCCTTTTTTTAATTTCGTGCCTTTTTTCCTGCCTTTCCAACAAAAGGGGCCAAGAGGATCATAAAACTAAAGTCACGAGATAAATCCTACCGGCCCTGAGCGGAGGCAGCTGCTGGAGGCCAGGAGAAGGACTCCCTCGGACCCCGGAAGAGGGAAAGGGTCACAGCCCTCGGAGGGAGGGGCTGATGCTTGAGAGCCCCTCCTGCCTGGGGAGGGGGCCAAGCAGACTCTCCCCCCTGCCCCCAGCCCTTGGAGGGGGCTTCTGTTGAGCCCTTCATGGTTTCAGAAGTGGAGGACTTGATCCCCACCAGACAGGAGTTCCCCCACCCCTGCCCTGCTGAACTAAGGGGGCCTGTGAAGCAGGTCACCCAGCACCCCCAGCCTGGCATCCCTCTTGACTTCCACTGGGGGTGGGGCGGGGCAGGCAATCCATTTAGGACATTAAGGCCTCCCGTATTGTCCGACCTCCTCAGCGAGGCTGGGGTGTGCCTCCTGGCCCCAGGTAGGGTTCACTTGGAGTTTGGGACGTGTTCATGCTTCGGCTTTCACTCCCAGCTTTTGCACAAGAAACTCTGCACACCCACGTTCTTTAGAAGAAAGTGCAGGTGGCAGTGACAGTACCTTGGGGCTCGTCTCTCAGTAACCAGCGCACAAGAGCCTAGATTTATTGGGCACCCAGACAAACGGGCGGCTATTGGTAAAAGCTGAAATTCCTTGTCAGCAATTGGGCAGACAAATTGGCCTCCTAAGGAAAGGCAGACAAAGCGAGCCAAACGGGGCAGGATGCGTTTCCCTGGAGCTCTTGCCACACACCGTCCTGGCAGAGGCCTCCCTGGCCATAAGTGACACATCTACCCCACTGTCAGCGCCAGGAAGCTGGTAGGAGAGGAACCAGACCAGCAGGGAGTTGAGAGCAGGGTGTTCTGGTGGAAAATGAAGGAAGGGCTGAGTGCGTGCGTGACTGTGCGACGGAGAGGGCCAGCCAGGGGCACCAGCAACAATTCTGGCTCCACCAGCCTGAAAGGAAATGCTTGTGCAGCGAGGATTCAGGGACACCCAAGAGGACAGCAGCTCCTAAGGATACACTGAAGTACACCAAACCCTTAAAAATGACCAGCTGACAATTATTTTGTCTCAATTAGAGTTATGACAGCATGGAATAATAACTACCTTTTCTTGTTTGTTCTGTAGTCAGCAAAGTCGCTCTTTGTTGTTGTTTTTAATAAACATATTACCCCCCCAGCAAAGAATGTTTTCAAAGTGACATAATTGCAAGAGGAAACAATTTATTAAAACTTCAATGATAAGTTTTAAGCAACAGAACACGTAAAAAAAAAAAACCTAGTTCCCTGAAATGTAGAGTTGCCAAAAGAGCAGCCGAAGAAAAGTGTCGGAAGCCAGGCACACAGCCCTCCTGTCTCTGGAAGCCGGCCTGAAAAGCTCCCCCGGGGTGGGGGTGGGCTCCTCTCCCCCCAGCCTGAGGTCTGCAAGAAGCTGCTCCAGATACAAGGCACTGGCCTTTGGGGGCCTGGGGGAGGCTTTGGGGCCCAACCACCACCAATTTAGAGTGAAACAGCAGAATCCGTAGGTTTTTCTTTAAAAACAAAGTATTTATTAAAGCGCACCTCCTCATCAACAAAATTGCACTGCGTAAATACTGTGGCGCAAGGCAGCCTATGATAAAAGGGTGCACTGACCAAGTCTCTGGCCTTTAAGGGATCGCTCTGGGTCCCAGTTCTGCCCCCTGGGAATCTTCCACCATCAGTGCAACCAGGGAGCGGGGTGGGGGGTGTTAGAGATGGGACAAATTGACAGATGTTCCCAGCACATCTGCAACCTTCTCTGTCCTCATGGACCCTCCGGGTGACGTTCTGCCTCTCCCCTCTGTCTTGATGGCAGCTTCCCCTTCCTTGGGATTCTTCCCACCGGTCGAAGCGTTTCCCTTGGGCAGCCCTGGGTCCTCGCTTGTTCTCCCCGGCCTTTGCCCCTCCACCTGCCGCCACATCAACTGCAGAGGCCAGGCAGGAATCGGAAGGAGCCATTCTGGCTTTCCAGGCAGAGGACCTCAGTGTCCTGTCAAGGAGTAAGTACCAGACCGCTGGGCCTTCTGACTCGGTGTTACTACACCATTAGCAGCAACTCTCCAGAATCGCATGCAAAGAAAAGCCCCTTTCAGCTTTTGCTACCACCCATTTAAAGTTAATGGAGGGTGTCCTCCAGGTTCATCCATCCAGAGGGGGTGGAGAAGGACTGATAAGGAGAGCCAGGGAACAGTTTAGACCGCTAAACGTTTATTAAGTCACCTATTAATGCAAACATCCCCAGCACAAAAGGAACCATTTTACTTCTGGAGCCAACTGTGCTTTTCTCTCTGCGCAGGTGCTCTGCCTCATCCAAGCGGGATGGGATTCCACCGGGGAACCTTAGGAGAATCTCAGGGCACCAAGGATCCCGCTGGAGGTGGGGGCAGCACAGCTGAACTCTGCCTCACGCTTTCTGAAAACGTGACTGTCATTGCAAAGAGTTGGTCTTAGGTGATGAACTATTTCAAGCCGTCTTTACGGCTTTTCCTTCAGCCTCGACTAAAGTCTTAGTTCAGGTTTCTCAATGGGAATGACCCAAAAATATCACAAGTGCTTGAAGAGTCGTCTCTGGTGCAATATGCCTCTGTGTGTTCATTCCCCGTCACGCTTTGCCTTTGGACATCCAAAATAAGCAAAGACGACCCCTCTTCCCACTCCATCCGAAAGGATTCCTCCTCTGGGTGGCCTTCTTCTCACTGAGCGTTCCAGGACCCTTGTAAAGGGAAGCCCTCGGGGAATAGGGCTCACCATGTTTATGGCCAAGGGTCTCTTCTTTCGGAGCTCGGTTTCTGAGATGGGCCGCCCATCAGAACTGCCAGCGTAGCGCACTGGACCTTTCCAGGTGAGCTACAATATCACAATCCGGTTTGGTTTCTTGGCACCAGCGTCACTTTTTTCCTCCATGGTGTGTAATGGATCCTGCCCCTTTTTGTGCTGGGTAACCCCCATCTATCACCGTCCGATGAATCTGAGGCTAAACGTGGAGAACAGCTCATGGGCCATAACCTAGAGACAGCGTGATGCAGCGGGTTAGGGGAAGGTCGCTCTCAAAGTGGATTCTGCCAACAGTTTCTCAAATAAGGGGCTTCCTTTCACACCTTGCTTCCAGGTACATCCTGCCCTCCCACCCCTTAACCAGCCTGAGGGGGAAAAAGTCTGCTACCAGAACAAGGAGCTGAATGTTCCTCCCTATAGTTAGTCAACACGAACTTTGTTTTCATTCTTTCAATCTTGCTAAGCGCCCATTTCATATCACAAAGGTTCACAGAATACATCAACTTCTATGTAGATGTTTTATTTTACTTCAGCCTATTCCAATGGAATAGGCTGGAACTTCTGGGCACTTGAGAAAACAATTCCTAAGAAATATTAAAGAGAAAATTTTTTGTTTACATGCTGCTGGGAATCCTATAAAATGTTGGTTCTGATAGCTGGTTCCTCCTCTGGCAGGCCCTAAAACGGTCAAACTGCTGCCTCTCCCACTGCAGAGCTTTCCTGAATTTTTGGAGAAAGCCACGATTCCAGGCTATATCCCAGAAGATATACTCAACCCTGATCTGGATGTGCGCATTCAAGACAACTCTTCTAGAATTTCTTCTGGAGGCTTTCATGAGATGTGAGAACTTCACCACAGAGCAGGAGAAGCCGTTTACTCGGATGTTACTCTGTTCTTGGAGTTTTCCCCTTAGGAGCTCTACTCGTCAGCCGGACTCTTTGTACGGATGCATTACAGGTTTTCCACCCGGTGCGCAACTCACCTCCTCAACCATGTGCTTGACTTTCTTCTGCTGACACAGAACCATGTCGTCCAGGTGCTGGATTCGTTCTCGGAGACTGTCAGTAATTTCCTCCAGCTTGAGGGACCTGACCAAGGAAATAGGCCCATTAAACAGAACACACCCCACAATTACAGCCTTTGGGATGTCCCTTCCCCACAAGCTCAGTATGTTTTTGCCTCACAGGGTTGTTGACAAGGGGATCAGACAAGCGGGGAGGGGCTGAAAGTGAGCTGGACTCGAAGGGCCTCTCCTTGTCCCGCTTCCCGTAAAAACCGGTCCCCAGGGGTTCTTCAAGGGCTTTCAAAAGTTCTGGCCTGAAATAGTCTTTTCTCTGCTGAGGTTTCTCAATGAACCTGCAATTTCTGCTCCTTGTTTTCCAGAAAAGAGCCTGCTCGAGCAGACCTTCCAGGATGGGAGCAGGACGCCCAGCCATGTCCCTCTTCCAACTGAGTAGCCTCCCCAAGAGAACCAGAAGACCCAAAAGGTCCTTACCTTGGTTGGCTGGACTGGTCGTAGAGAGCCGCTCTTTGTAGCTGCATTTCATACTCTATTAATTGCTTTTGCAACTGATGGCGCTCCTGAGGGGAGAAACACAGAGGGGAACGAAGGCATTTTGCTTTAATCAATGACTCCCCCCCCCCCCCCCCAGTAGCCATAATGCCAGCCAAGTAAGTGAGAGCACTGACTTTTCAAAGCAACATTCAGTGCTGTGACTAAAGTTACCAGTCTGGAGACTGCCACAGAGTACCGCAGTTCCCTGTCACAGATATTATTGGAGTCTGTGAATGTTGTGACTGTCAGTTAATAGATTCCAAGTCCCCCCACCCTCCCAAATCACCTTAAAATTGCCTGTGAATCTTCTGGAGGAAGAATCTACCCAGGCAAATAGCGAGGACTGCTCTCTAACAGCCATTCAAACCATGGCTTGATGAACTCCCCATCTCCCTGGAGCTGCATCCTGGTCCTCCAGTAAAAAACGACCCCCACCGAACACAATCTCAACAGGACAATCCTGCTCCAGCCGATCTCTCCCACAGACCCCTCCCTGGTCAAATAAATGAAAGGAGCAGCACCGAAAGGGGCTTTGAGAGGTCCGAAGGCCTCAGCCAAGAAAGAGGAAAAGGCCCAGGACAAAGTGCATGTTTACGTTCTGAAAAGAGAGAGAGAGAGAGAGAGAGAATCTTCTACAACCAGTTCTGCAGCCCTGCCTTTCTGGTGGCCTGGATTATCTGGGTAGCAGGACTTGTTTTCCTAGGCAAATTGTGAGCTCCTAAGAGTTAACGAGTCCGATGACGCATCATTCTGGTTTCTGAAAACTCATCCTTGCTCTACAGCATCGCTGAAGTGGCACAATCTTTCGCCCACCTACATTGTCCATTCCTGCCACAGTTGGTAGACTTGGCAGCTACTTGGAGGCTGGCCCCTCCCCTTCCAGGAATACCCCACGGAAAGGAAGGGAGACCAGCCTATGGGGGAGGGGTATTTCCCCCTCTCTGCCTTCGGGATCTTTTGTCTGCAGACCAAATCCATTTGATTAAGGAAGAGACACAATAACCCCTCTAGAATATGGAGGAAAATGATAAAACTGATGACTTCCTTATACCGGTCTACGAGAGAAAGCGCCCTTACATATTGTGTCACGGTGTGGTATGCTGGCTTGACAACCGCGGACAAAAAAGCATTTCAGAGGGTGATGAGCACAGCACAAAAAACCATGGGCTGTCCCCTGACCCCACTGGATGAAACCGCCAGGACCCACTGCCTCAGCAAAGTGAGGAAAATCCTCAGGAGTGATTCGCACCCTGGTCAGCACCTCTTTCCTCTCCTTCTATTGGGCAGGAGGTATAGAAGCAGAGCCAGCCGATCGAATAGGCTGAAAAATAGCTTTTATCCGTGGGCTGTACGACTTCTGAATGCAACATCAATACCACAATTAGGTTTAATGTGATAGACTTGCAGGGCCAGCGCCAAGGAGGCTCATTTCAATTTCATTGTACACATGTTCTTCATTGACAATAAACGTTTGATTGATTGCTTGCTTGATTAAAAAGGGCTGTCCCTGGCCTTCATGGTACATAGGTGAAATACTGTGTGCAAAAATTCGGAGGATTTTAATCTTTATTTTGCAAAGTGCAAAGAGTAAATAACCTCCAACACAGTGATCGCTAACCAGTGGGCCTGGGACCACTGGTGGTCTGCCAGAACATTTTGGTGGTCCGCAGAGAAATGTTCCCCCCAAAGCAATTAATCCAGGCTGCGTGGGAACGCAAGGCTTGCATGGTGAACAACATGAGGTAGTGAGGGGAGGGGGCAGTGGGGAGGAACTTGCCCCGCTCGCCCCACTCGTCTGGCCTGGCCACCGGGCTGCTTCTTCCGCTTCTTTCTTCTGCTTTTGGTTGCACGCAAGGAAAGCAGCCAAAGTCTTTCTTTCTCTCCCCCAAACTCCGCCAGAAATGAGTCTTTGGGACCCGGCAAGGCCTCCTGCTCCAAGAGGCTGCACCGGCAAAGACTCATTTCTGGTGGAGTTTGGGGGAGAGAAAGAAAGACTTCTGCTGCTTTCCTTGCATGAAGCCAAAGTCTCTCTCTCTCTCCCCCTATGAACAGAGCTGGAAACGGTATCCTGCAATCCCAAATAAAGAATGATTGATTGGTAGGAAGACGGGATGGGGAATTTTCCTGCAGACTTTTTTCCTGCAGCCACTGTCAGTCAAAATTCACATTAATGGTCTGCGGGATTTAAGTATGAGTTTGGTGGTCCCTGAGGTCCAAAAGGTTGGCGAACCCTGCTCCAACACACCTGTACCCTTCTAGTTAGAAAAAAAGATTTAAGTGATGTTCTTACATTTTCCATGCGCTGAATGAGTCGATCCAGCTCTCCAATCCGTTGATCTTTTTCCTGCAAACTTGTCTCTGTAAGTCTCATCTTCTTATTTGCATCCTCAATGGCCATAAGTAAACGATTCGTTTCCAACTTCCAAGAGAAAAACACGTCAGATCCCATTCCCCCGCCTGGCGATTCCAAGGCTGCCGGCTGCCTGGCTTCTTGCTGCTGCCCTCCTTCCCCAAATCCTAAGAACGGCTCGCAGCAGCAACAAGCAGCAATCCATTCCTGGTCTCCCACAAACCTGTTTCCGCGTTCCTCCTGGCAAGACCCAAAACTGCAATTTATTCCCAGTCATTTTACAGCTGTTAAAATCTCCAGGAAAAGGACGAGCATTCATACAGAACTGTAGGAAAGACATCCCCTCTTACCGCCCAGTTCCCCATATGTTTATTTGAAAACTAGGAGTTTTTTCATAGGTGAAAAACCTGAGCTTTTCTTCTTGGCTAAAGTCAGCTTAGCTCAAAGCTGAGTTTAATAAGATTAATTCCAGATAATATGCGCAAAGCCGCCACATCCACACATTCCTAAATTTGTTTAGGGATCCTTACTCCTCACCCATTAATTGTTTCTAAAACTTTGGAAAGTCATATTTTAAGAGAGGAGATTCTACATTAAGTAAAGCGTTTTCTGTATATGGTAAATCGCTCTTCTGTACAACTGAAAATTGTATAAAAGCACAGATGTCCTTTACACACTTCAACAAGCCATGCCCAGAAGAGCCCCATTCCAACTGGTAATTTAGCAAACTGAATTTCTACTGTTAAGTTGAAAACTCCTGTCCGCAGACTGCAAACAACCCCAGAAACTGACTCTCCACCCTGACTTGCACTAAGAGTGGCAGCCCTTCCGAAGGGAATGTCAGAGCGTCCCACGTACAAGGAGAGTTTCTCTCTCAAGTTTATGCTTCCGTTCTTCCTCTTGGAGCTTTTCCTCATACTGACTGTATAGTTTCCTGGTCATCTCTCTCATGACTTCTGCATTTGCTTCTTGTGAGCTTTCCACCTATTTAAAAAAAAATAAATAGAAAGATGCGGGAGGAGACAAATGCAAGAGAGGAATCGATGCTTCCCATGGAAAATCAGCTTTGCCTGTGGCAGCCAAATGGATCGGAGTGAAAGGCAGGCAAGGTCTGAAAGGCTTCGGCCCCTTTTTGTTTACACACTGGGTGCATTTCAAGTGGTAATAGCAGCACCTTTTGTTTGGGATGTGGCTTCAGCTCCTCTCGCCTGCCTGGAGTGGGGAGGGGTGGGGGGGGGAAGGAAATGGGGCAGACGGCTTCAAGCAAAGCCTGCTAGTTGCAAGTCAGGAACAGCGCAGCTCAGCCCCTCCTATGGGAAAACTCCCACCTTGGGCACCTGGGGCAAGCTGAATGCAGAGGCCTGAAATCCCTGACCACCTAAATGGCGCCGGAAGCAGGAATGTGGGCAAGTTTGGAGCTTAGGTCTCTCGCCTGATCATGCCTCTTTGCCTCTGGGCCAAAACGTTTCCAGCCAGTCAATGGTTCTGGACGGGTCTCCTGGGAACCGCCGTCCAGGGCAAGTATTCCCGCCACTCACCTTGAGACGGAGCAATTCATTTTCCACCTTAGCAGTTTCCAGTTCCTTCTGCTTTTCCTTCAGCTTTTCCATGGATTGTTCGTGAGTTTGTTTCAGGTTATGTATCTGGTCACGTATAACTGTATTCTCCAAAGTAACATCAACTAAGGTTTTCTGAAAATGTGTCCAATAAAACATAAAATTCATTCACAACTGCTTGACAAAAATTAGGATTCATCTTTTTTTTTTTTTTTCCAAATACACTTTTGGGCAAGAATTGAAAAGAACTAACTTACATTTCTGGGTTTCTTAAGAAAGGAAATGTGCAAAATGCATGTTATGTTGGAAGAAGGTAGCAAATCATCTTCCAGCTTAAATCTATCCAGGAATTACTGACTTATTAATATTAACTGACTAACTCCAGGGGATTCTGAGTGGTGAATGACCCAGGAAACATCATTAAGCCTTGAAACGGGATTGTGTGACCGGAGGGAAGGAAAGTAACGGAGTACATCACATTTGCTGGGAGCTGGCTGGTATGCAAACCGAATAAATAAATAAACACCCACCTTGTACATTTTCTGTTTATTATGTTTGTGTCCTGCCATACTAAAACATACTCTCAAATTTATGGCCAATTGTGGACTTCCGGTGGCGCTTCCGTTGACGATGATCAGAGACCACGATCATGCGTGGCTCAGGTCCATGTTTCCCTTGCTGGAAGGGTCCCTATGGGACCGGTATCATCCTGACCCACCTCGGAGGCGTGGGCAAAGAGGGGGAAATCGCCAGCTGGGTTGAGGGGAGCTGCATCTCCCCTCCCTGGCCAGGTATTACTCCCCTGGAAGACAGGGAGAAACGGCAGCCTAAAATGGCTGCCCTGAAGACGGAAAGCTGCCGGGATTTAAGTTTTGTGCTGGAGCGGGGAAGTGGTAAGCGACATGCAACCAGATAAAAGAACTTTTTTTTTTTTTTTTGTAATAACCCCGAGAAGTAGAAAGAAAGTGTCCTCACACAAGAGTAACACAGAGGCAAACAGAAAAAAAAGAGGAAAATACAAGGTAAACAAAATTGGTTCATAAAAAGCTACAATGAAACTAGAGACTAAACTTTGAATGATATAAATTGGCATTAATTAGGCATTGGATTAAATGCTGGACTTGCCTGGAATTGGTCAATATTAAGAAAATTAATTGTGGAAATGGTTGGAAATTGTTTAATATAACTAAAAGAGAAAAGAAACGAACTTTAAAAAGTGAAAAGTGATACAGAATGCCATCTAATGGTCAAATACTCTTTTTCCTACAAAATTATATGGAAAATTACTGGACCTATAACTGTTATAAAAAAAAGACAAATAAAATAATAAGAATCCTGGAAATTTTGGAAAAAGGGGGAGTAATTTTACCAAGAGGATATACAAATACAATTTTCTGGGACTGTTGGGGGTGTTGATTGTGACAAAAAGATAGAAGGATTAACAAAAGAAATAAAGATAAAAGGAGACTTTTGGCAAGGATTGTAACAAAAGACTTGAATATTAATAATTTATTATAAAAATGGAAGAAATAAGCAAAGACTTTAAGTTGGAATTGCAAATTGTTAGAGGAATGCTGAAGGAAAGAAGGGAACTACTGGAAATATTGGAAAAGAAAATAATGGTGATGGTTGAAGAACGAAGAAATTCCAGTGAGGCGGAGTCAAAGGAAGAAGAAAGGCTCAGACAGACACGGAGAACAAGAGACATTGTCAAAAGACACTAAAAGAATTAAAACTATGATATTGATGACTGACTTAATAAATAAAAGAGAAAACGATCCCAGGATTAAACAAAAGAAGAAATTATACAAGAAGAAACTTCAAAAAAGAGAACAGGAAAGCGGGGAGAGAAGATGGGTGAAATGTTAGAAGGAAAGAAGGAAGACCAGGGAAATTTAGAAAGGGGAAAGTTGGCTAAAATTAAAATAAATAATAAAGCTGAAAAATTTAGAGATAAAGGTTAGGGATTCTATAAGGGGGATACCACATGGAACATATATTGGTGTTTAATTTAAAACTTGTAGGGAAATATCTTAGGAATGTATAATTATGTATATATATGAATATTAACTGTATATAAAATGTGTTGTTATGAACCCTTTTCTTTTTTGGAGGATCAAAACAAGGGAAAGGAAATGAATTTTAAAAAGATATGATTATCAATGATTATAAGTAAAGTGAAGATAAAATGAGAGATATTAAGAAGTTATTTTAGTGATTTATTGGAGGGGATAATGGATATTAGAATTGTAGAATGAGAATATTCTATTATGATTAAAGTAGGGGATTGGGAAATACCATGTGGATCCTAAATTTATTGGTTTTGTCTATATTTTAACTCTTCTTAAATTGTTTATTACATATCGGCTGTGTAATGTAAAATAAAATAGGTGGTAAGCTGAAAATGGAAATAATAGGGGATAAAGATTTGAAAACTTATGTATGGATGAAATGATATTGATACTGAATTAATGAACTGAAATATGAAATGCAAATTTATTTAAAGATGAGTGAAATGGATAATGATATGAGTTAATATTATATAAGATTAATGGAAATGAAAATATGACTATGTACAAGTGTTATAACCTGGAAACATGTTGCTCACGTGAAAAAATGTATAAAATTTAAAAAAAAAATTACGGCCAATTCTGCCACGTTTAAATACAGCACATTGATCTTGCTAATTTCCAAGTGTTAGAAAATAAAACCTGTGAGCTAATTAAATTAATAAATCAACACCATGTCTTTGGATTAGTACTGTGACTAAAGCCCAGGAATCTTCAGCGCAATAAGCAAAGCCACTTCTTATAGAGCAACGAAGCCAACTTTCAGCATGCTGAATTTCAGATTCAAACCAGTCCCTCTACCGACGGGGCTGCGGATCAGGCCCTGCCCTCCAAAGGCTGACCCAGCGGGGGGGGGGGGGGGGGGGGGGGGGGTTTACCCCACCCCCCCGCGGGGCCGGGGGGGGGGGGGGGGGGGGGGGGAGGAGCTTTATCAGCAACTTACCTGCAGCTCAATGGATGCTGAGGTGAGCGAACTGCTCATTTCGCGGAAACTCTCCAGGGCTGCCGCGTGCACCTGGATGTGGCTTTCTAGGGATGCCTGCTCAGCGTGTGACACCTGCAGAAGTAATGCCGGGCTTGAGTTTCAGGAACCGCCCAGGGCCAATAGGGAGGCTTGCTTTGGAATCGACACCCCCATCCAATGACTTTTATTGGAAGCCCATAAAAGAAAAGGCAAGCTCGATACATTTGCCAGAGCGACAAACTGCTGGTGGGGAAGTAAGGCTGGAGCCTGTTTTGGCAAAAAAAGTCATGCCATCCTCCTCCTGGCCAACTGCTGAACCCATAGATGCTCACTAACGCCCTGAAGACCTGCTGCTGCTGCTGACCATCCATGGCAGTCCACCAACATGCGGCAGAGACAAGAAGCAGCTCCATGTAGCCAAATAAAATATTCCCTTTCAAGAGACACTGAAGAAAAGATTCAAATCCTAACCGCCAGGTGGACTTCGGGAAAAAGTCCAACAAAAAATATGTGAGCTTACACCAGTTCTCGAGCTCCATATTGGAGATTTGGAACAGAAGTGTCTCCTTGGCATTTCAAAGAAAAGTAATGCGGCTTGAAGGTAAGCGAAGCAGAAATCTGCAAGCCGGGCCAGGCTGTGCCAGGCTACCGAAGAAGGGGTCCCCCCACCCTGAACATGCAAAAGCCATCGGAGTGTAAAGGAGGGTGCAACAAAGGCGACCCGTACTTTCCATAAACACATATTAATAAATTGCTCCGTAAAACCCATGTGCGGATCTAGGCCCGCGCAGGAGAGTCTCTTGAGAAAGGGATATGAGAAAGACCGCCTTCGCAGGGATGAGCCGGCTGCAGCGGCGGAGGCTTCCAACCACGCTCAGAAAGCACCAGTTTGGTAAGAAATGAAGGCCCCAACATGGACAAAGCAGCGCCAAAAGCGGAGAGGAAGAAGTTCGCTGCTCAGCCGCCACCGTACTTACTGTCAGCTCACTTGAGAGCTCGTGGATTTTGCGTTTCATTTCATCGTATTCGCCATACATTTTGTTTCTTACTCTTTCCAATGTTAATCTCACCTGGAACAGAAAGGTTACAATACATAAAATTGTTCTCCATGCTTGGTAAATAGTCATTTTCAGAGTCTAAAGAGTCAAATGTTTATAAAAGTAACGAAACCAAACAATTTAAGAAAATCCTGGCTGTTCCTTTCTCGTACTCGGGATCTGAGGCAGGTATCATGTCAGACTTAAAATGTGGTTCCTCAGCTAAGCCCGGGAGCCCCATCCCGCCCCCCCCGCCCCCATTCACAGAGCCAGGTAGCACCTCCACTCTTGTCCCACTGCCTTAGAGAGGAGGGAAGCTTGTACCTGAGTAAGGGATGCTCCCCACCTGCCTTGCCCCTCTTGGGGCTTTGGGCCTCCGTTCTGTTCCGGAGTCTGAGGGGGGCAGACCAGAAGGATGCCCGGGGCCCCCGTCCACGTGTGGATGGAGGATGCTTGCTTCGAGAGGGGCTTGCCCTGCATCCAGCCCCTGAAGAGCCTCGGGGGGGGGGAGATGGGGCAGAATGCACCCCTGCTGCCCTCTGAGGTTTGCCAACAGACAGGCCTGGGCCAAACCTAATGGGACTCTCCCCATATTCCTCTCTCCTTTGTGACCCTCCTGCAGACGACTCACAAGTGATGTGGCCAGAGCTACGGGGCCACCGGGTCAGTGAAACATACACCAGGAATCCAAATTTAAAGAGGTGCAAATTATATTCCAGACAATAAGTTGACTTCATTTCACAATTTTGTTCAGATAGAAACCAGAACTGAGTGCACCGACTAATGGAGTGAATGGTCCTGATCCAGCCATGGGAAGGAAAGAAGCCACCAGAAAAGTGCTGGATTGAGAAGGAGATAAACTTTTGCTTCGGGGACAGAAGGATGGGAAAAGGAGCAGCTGCCAATCAAAATCTTTCCTTTCCTGCAAGAACACTGTATAAAAATGGGACTCACATCTCGTATATATCTCATTTCTTCTTTCAGTTGGTGAGCTGACCATCCATAAACCACCATTTCTTTGTTGTGGTTGTCATCAGACCGGTGCACCACACCGTACACAACACCGTGCTTTAAGTCCCCAGCAGACAATCCCCCAGGCGCTTGGTAGAGTTGCTGTCGGAGTATATTCAAAAGTTATAAATGTAAAGAAAAGGGAAAGTAACACGCTATTGTGTGACTTTTTCTAACCTACCTTTAATTTCATAATGCTCTTCAAGATAAAAGGATGAAACTTTTTAAACATAATTTAAACAATTATTACCAGAATGTGCTCTTTCCTAAAACTGCTCCGAACATCAAAGGGTGGCCCAGCACTAACATCCCCTGAGGCCAAACGGAGCCTGGGCCAGCAAGGCCGGTCCTCAGCGCAGGGCAGAATTCTCTAAGGCATTGCTGGGGGGCAGCCGGACGGAAGGGCTGCTCTCTGCCCGCCTCCCTGGGCAACGCCTGGCGACCCTCTGGGGCTGGCCTAGACAGGCCTTCAGCCGGACCTTCCTACGTTCCTGTCTGAGTACCTTCCACGTTTCCAGAGGGAACCACAGCATCGGTTAGTGGTAGCTGTCACTTGAGCCAAGCTATGAACTCTTTGATCAGGCACAGAAGACACAAAAACAGTTCTAGATAATTAATTCAGCGGCTACCTTTAAAACTAATTTGTCTTCCTCAAGAAGGGAAAATCTATACTTATTTTATTAAAATGATCTTATTGCAAGCATGCATACAGAGGAGGGGGGCCCTGCAATTTAAAATTCCTTTCCGATTCTGCTTCTCTGCCCTCCCAGAAACTCCTGTGGGAGTTGCCCTTAGTGCCCAGAGAGCATTTGAGATCCAGTTTTAATTGTCTAAAACATCAACATAAGCTACTCTGTCACAATACATAGGCATAGTCACCTTGTTGCCTGATGGCATTCAGAATTATCAGAATTATCATGCAAAGTACATTGTTTTGTTTAGTCAAAAGGTGGGGAGGAAGGCGTGTCCTGGGTGGAGTGCCAGATGCAAAAATGATTTTTCATTTCCTGGATAGTTTTATTTGGTTTCATATCTGACACTTGACTATAATCTTGTTCATAGGTGACAGCTCCTCTCCAGCACTAAGGAATGGAATGACTGGATCAGAAGTGGGTGCTCTTCTGAAGAATAGGTACAGAACGGGGAGTTCTGGCACTGCTCAAAGTATTACATTCTTCCCACTCAAGATAGCCTCTCGTAGTTCAGCAATGAGTTATGCTTACACAAATCTAATTAAATCTGGAGACTCTAATTATCTGCAATCCAACACACAATGACCTAAGAGGAGCCCTTCTTGAACACAATGGGGTGTATTTCTGAGCAGTATCCATAGGATTCCTCTCTAATCCCAACATCCCTTCTTGGCCAGGTGAGCAGCTGAAGGCCTCAGAGAGGTTGGCCAGAAGGGGCCTGGGCTTTGCCATTCCTGCCCCAGCGTTTGCTCCTCCCTTGCTCTGAGCCGCCCCCTTGGCTTTCCTTTCTCACTACAGGACAGCCACCCCCATTTTTCCCTGTGTGAAGGCAGATTAGCACATCAGGATCCGGAGAGCAGCCTCCAGGGTAATCTAACCAGATTTTCAGAAACCTTTGGCCCCTTTGGCTGTGCAATGCCCAGGTCATTTCCAGCAGGAAGAGGAGGGTGGGGGTTCTTTGTTGGCCCAGCAAGCTCTGACTTGTATGGCCGAGGTGGCTCCTCTGGCTGGATCTGCAGAGCAGCCCCTCCACCCCCATCTAGTTCGCATCACTCCTCCAGCCAGGCCACAAGGGAGGAGTAACGGCTGCTCAGGGCCCAGGAATTAGAGAAGCTGCTTTGCTGGCCAGTTTAGTGTTGTCCCTGGAGCCCCACCCCGGCCAGCCAGCATTGTCCCTCAGAGGGCGGATTGCAGCTGTGTTGCAAAAGTCTGACTGGCACCAATCTCAGAGCGCAGGGATGGTCTGGTGACCTCACAAAGCCGTGGGTGTGGTGATAATAAAGCTGTTAGAACTCTGACTTTGGCCTGGCGCAGCGATGTGTGCCTTGAAAGCTCCTCTTTGCACTAGCGGGGTGCCTGTGCTCCCCCCCCCCCGCAGGAGTCTAGGAGCCCTTTCTCTCAGACTCTTTCTCCAATGTAAGCCTATTATTATGGGCATTTTCTCCCAACAGTACAAACAGCAATTAAGTCAGGAAACCCATGCAAGGGGAAGAAATAAATAATGTCCAGCCAGAAGGAGATTTCCACAAAAGGTCCAAACATCCACCCCCACCCCCCTCTCAGCCAACCCATCTCCCTGTGGTGATAACCCCCAAGGGTCCCTCAAGTTGGGAAGGGAGGAAGGAACTCTGAAATCATCTCCTAATCAGGTCGTAATCTACATTATGAACATTTTCAAAAGTAAGATCCGGCAACAACTTTTCCTTCAAAACCAAACCATCTGCCTTAAATTAAACAACAACAAAAAAAGCACTGAACATCTTTGGCTGGATTTCTCCCCGAAGGATAAAGGAAATTTCCATGCCACCCAAAGAAGTGAGAGTGTTTCTGTGGCAGGATTTGCCCACTTGGAGAAATGCAGGTCCACAAATTGGGGGGGGGGGGGCACAAATCAAAGGGTATCCTGTGAATTCCTGCACTTCACCATCTCACCTTTGGGGTCTTCTCAGCAGCATTTGTCCCTCCCCTAGGAGGCCAGTTTTCTTCCGGGGGCAGAGTTAAGCGCAGCCGACAGATGTTTGCCTGGAGGACAGCAAAGATTGATTGATTGATTGATTGATTTTGTCGAGCATGTGATAACCGATAGAATTGGAGACATGATTAAGAGCACATGAAATGGGTACAAATAACGGGGGAGGCTGGTGCGCTGATGCAGGCCCCCTACAGACCCCTTAGGAATGGGGCGAGGTCAACAGTAGACAGTCTAAGATTAAAGTTTGGGGGGTCTGGGGAAGAGACCACCGAGTCAGGTAGTGCATTCCAGGGACTGACCACTCTGTCTGGCTCCGCTTACAATCCTCCTCTCTCTTTTCTCCCTTCGCTTTGGGGCAGGCAAGCAGCCAAGGGGAAGGAAGGGCAGCTCCACTCAGAAATGACCACATGCTGTCCAAGGGCAGGGCCTGTCTCTGCCCAGGCATTTTCTTCAAAACTCACCTCGTTTAGCTTCAATTTCCTAGGGAACGCTCTTATGGAATAAGTAGCATGGGAAGTTTTATAAATAAAAAGAGGAGGAAGCCGAGAATACATTCGGGGCACCGGGCAGGTTCACAATGTTTACAGGCGACATAAATAACGCACTAAAACCACCGGTTCTTTTTCCACTCGCTGGTTTTGGTGCACTAAAAGGGAACTTCCGAGCGACGCTTTGATAGGGGAAAGGTGGCAACAAGCGCCGCCATCGCAGGGCAGCCCCACAGACGGAGACAGGCCTCCCCGGAGCCGGCACAGCGGGCGCGTCCTGCCCCGCACCGCCAGCCTTGCACTGACTCGGGCAAGGGCAGCCAGCCGAGGCCTCCCTTGCCGGATCCTCCTCCCCAAGCCGCCACCGACTTTCGGCGCGGCCCGTCCTGCTCTGCCTCCACCGCCAGGCTCCGGGGAGCCGCTGCCGGGCCCGCGCCGCCGGAAGACGGCGGGGCTTTTCTGCCCTCTGGCCGCCCCCGGAGCCTCCCCTCCGTCTTCACCGGAGCGCAGCCGGGCCAAGGCCAGCAACCGGTCCGGGGGCCCCTCGGGGAAAGGCAGGCGTGGGCCCACCGGGCAGGCAGGAGCCGCGGCTGCGGAGGCGCCTCTTTGCCCGTCGCCAAGTTTGGCTGGGGCGGCCGGCCTGGAAGAGTTTCCTCCGCGAGGGCCCCGGCCGCTTCTCCGGGCGAGGAGGCCGCCCGCTCACCTTCCGCTTGCTCTGCGGCTGCCTCGGCTTGGTGTGGGTCACCGTCAGCCCCGACCTGTAGCGCAGCATCTCGGCCGCTCCCCGCAGCCTCCGCCGCGGCCGGGCGCGGCGCCTCCTCGGACCAAGTGAGCCGCTCCGCCGCCCCGCGAGGCAGACGAAGGGCGCTCGCCCCGCCCCGCCCCGCCCCGCGCCGACCAGGCTCGCTGCCTTCGCGGCTCCAAGGGAAGCGGCGGCGGCGGCGGCGGAGCCTCTTAGACGCCTCCGAGGAGGCCGCCTCCCCTCAGCCTGTCCGGGCCCAACTCGGGGCCGCTGTGGCCGGGCGGCCTCCGCCTCTTCTCCGGCCGAAGAGCGAGGCTGGCCGAGCCCTCCGGCGGTGGGCGCAGAGACGCGGCTTCGGCCCCGGGTCGGCCAGCGAGACCGCCGTCGTCAGGCTGCGGAGGGCGGCCCCAGGCTGAGGCCCGGCCCGGCCTTGCTTTGCCTGTTCTCCCAGGGGGTCGGTCGGGTGGGAGAGTCAGCTGGCCGTTTGCCTCAGCTCGGCCCTGCCGGCGCCAGAAGAGCCCGGAAGGCGAAAGCTCCTCCAGGGACCTGCGGTGGGTCCGAAGGGCCGGCTGCTCGGGGGGAGGGACGGGCCCCGGGCCCCCCTGGCCTGTTTCGAAGCCGAACTTTGGGCTCCGAGGGGAAAGCGCCGCCCTAATTTCAAGGGCAACGTTGAGTTTCTGTTTCAGCAACGCCGCCGGCGGCTGTTCGTTCCCGAAGGGCCCTTCCCTCCCACCTCAACCCCCGAGGCTGACGGGGAAGCCACCCCAAGGGCCCCCCTGACTAGCACTGGGGACGCTGCCCGGTTTGGGCCCTGAAACCTCTCCACACAAAACAAGCAAGCCCGGAGAACCCCCAAGCCTCACTCCACCCTAAATAGAGATTTTTATGCTCTCCGCATGAGGTAAATCTTCTTCCAGGCTGAGAAGACGCTCGAGGAGATGACAAGAGAGGCCTCTGTGGTGCCCTTTTCTTAGTCAACATTTCCTCAAACAAGCGGGCTCATTGCACATGGCAGCTGAGGGGGGAAACCTGCTGGCCTCCTTCAGCAAAAGGCAATACAGGTATAACAAGGTTGCTGCATCAGGGTTAGAAATTCACCCTTACAATGTCAGTTGAGCAATTAAGCCAGAATGACACAAACGTGACACACCCAAGGACACAGTCCCCGGTGAAGAGCAGCCTTCAGTGGCTGCCAGTCCCAGGGGCTTTATTCTCTCCTGCCTGTCCACCCAAAGGCTTTCCTGTTGAGGAACCGGAAGAAATGGCAAAAGCCGGCAGGCAGCGCTTGCCCCCTGCATCCCAGGGCCCGGGAGCCGTGACCAGCAGCAAGGTCTTGCATGGCATGACGCATCGGCCCCTGAATCAGCACCTCTCCTCCGGAGTCGGCTCCTCCCTGGCTTTCGTTTGTTCTGGTGTCGTGGTTCGGGACCTTGGCGGCTCCACGTGGCTTCTCTGCACACCCAACAAGGGCACTCTTGAGCCCTCAGGAATGCGCAGACAATCCCAACAGTCAAACACAACCCCCTTTGGCAAACAAAAAGGAACCATAAAAGTTAACATCATGGTAAATGGTGTCGTTTACACAGCAGTCCTCATCCATTCCTCCTATAGGTACCCGGGTACTACGTGGGACGGGCCTGCCTTAGCCGCTCGGGGCCAAGGAGCCCAGAAGCAGAGAGGCAACTCCCTTCTCCCCAAAAAGGGACGGTATGGAGCTGGAGTCGGAGGGCCCCATCTTGGGAATGGTCAATTCTTCACGTTGCATCATCCTATCGGCCATTGGAATTGGGTAAGTTGGGAGACTTGGCAGCCGTTGTGTATTCTCTTTGTGTACTCCTAGTCTTACTTACAATATTTAACCTACTTAATAAGTACTTGGGCCCTGTCAAAGCCTATAATAATTTAGCCAATCTGACTTTAATTGCAGCTCTGCCTTCAATCATACATGTAGCCCTGACACTAATTAGGGCTGCATAAAGGCCTCACCATGGATCTGATATTGCAAGTATTTGTTTTGCTTGTAGAGTAATATCCTGATTTTTCAATGATTATTCAACGGTTGGAGAGAGTCTGACCTTTTAATTCTTGCTTCACCCACCAAGATACAGTTGTATAAATGAAGGAGTTAATAGAAGAGAATCTCCATAGCTCCAGATTGGTGCCCTTTGTGCTCTCCTGGCTTGATGGTTTGCTTGCAGACATTTCGTTAATGAACTAGGGAACATACAAATCCCACCTTCCTTTGCACTGATGAAGTTACCTAGTCGGGTAACGAAACGTCTGCAAGCAAAGAGCCAAGCTCAGAGACCATCACAGATGGTCCACAGACGCGATTAAATATTGAAGTACCTAGGGGGGAAAAGATTTTTCTTAACCCTCCAGCTGAGACTTCTGTTCAAGAGCCCCTATTTAGACTGCCCTCCTACCCTCCTGCTCCTGCTAGGGGGTTTCTGCCACGGCCCATTTCCTTTCCGGACCCCCTGCTGGGCGGCCTCTGCTCTCAGGGCTGATGTCCTGTTTTGTCTTGCTTGGAACCTACTGACAGCTGATTACGTGGCACCAACTGTTCGCCTTGGGCACCTGTATGCACACCATCACTTTAGAACCTTATGAATGGACGTCCTTCAAAACTATGGAAGTAGGCCAGCGTGGAGAATGTGTTTAGGTTGAGGTCAAGTGACTCAGGAACTCACTAACAGGAAGCAAATTATTTTAGGAGGAGGAATAATTTTGTAATTTAAGTTCTGTAGCATGATGCATAGCCCATCTTTTAATGAGATCCCACATCAATGCTTTGGAAATGTGCAGAATGTTGATCTGAGCCAGGGTTCCTGATCGGTTTTAGTTTGATCGCCTGCCCATCTCATACAGCGCTAGAGAAGCCTCCGGCTAAGACCTGCTGGGGGTGGGGGGGCAACTGGAGGGACTTCCGTTCGCCTCTCTGCTGGAGCAGACAACTTGAAATACAGTGTGTTGAGTGAGGATGGGGGATGTAGAGAGGAAGCTCTTTGGCTACTGAGCTGGGCACAAACAGTTTTTCTCTTCTCCTCCGGAGGGAAGGGACTCACGGCCCCGATTCCCCCCTCCCCTTCCTGAGATCAACAGCAACATTCCTGGGACATCACACAAGCCGTAACCTGATGGGAAACTTACCAACAAATGGAAACAGGAAACATCTGAGGATTATATGCCTTTTTTTTCAACACCTCAAGCTAATCGGTGGAAATAACAGGGTATTTTTGGACCCTTGTGCATTAATGTTGCACAACAGACTTGCACATGACAACACCAAGGCAGAAAGATTTACCATTTATTTCAAAATAACTAGAGTTTTATGATTTAGCATGTCTGGAGGTAGCTGCAAAAATTCCTTGGTTTTTTCTCCAAATTCTTTACAGTCTCAGTCTCAGTTTATACTGGACGTTTTTCCAGTAAAAGCCCTTGAAATTAAAAGTAAATTTGTTTCCCAACAGATTTTTGTCTTCAGCTTGCTCAGACACGATCCAAGAAGAGAGTGGTAAAGAATAGTATTAAAATAAAAGTGGCATTTTAGTATCAGAAGAAAAAATACAAGAGTTTGAACTGATTGTCAACACAGCACATTTCCAGGTCATTTCTTCCTTGTTTTTAAAAACTATTGACAGATAAAGAAAATGCATCTCATTCAGATTAGCTGCAAACTTCCTGAGAATAAATCTGTTGAAAATCAAGTACATCTCAGGGCAAATATTTCCCCATTACCTATCAGTGGATACGAATGCTTTACAATACGTTTTGACACATATTTTCAGATCATGACATCAAGGAGTCAACCAGCTCCTTATCTCTCTTGGCAGGACACAAGCTCTAAAGCAGGCATGTCAAACGGGCAGCCTACAGGCTGGATGCGTCACCCCAGCTCTGCAAAGGGGAAAAACATCACCATACGTGATGTGACGGAAACGTGATGCTGCATGTTTGGCACCCGTGCTCTAAAGTTACCTGAACAATTTGGACAAATTACTTCACGATCTCATTCATGAAGAACTGGAGCAAAAAAAGCACTATCTGGTTTCAGGATCTGTCCTGCTTTATCTGCTATGATCAGAAACCGTCTGTCAAGAAGTTCCAATCTTTCAGGTTATCTTCTGTGATCTTTTGTGGCTCCCACTAATAGAATGCTATGAAATTGGAGCCCTTCCCTGTGGGAGCAGAAGGTGCTCGGTCGCTCCACCTGCCACCTCCTCTTCCACAAGGGTTCTCCTTCCCCACCTGAGATGGCGGGACTGAACCAGCAAGCAGGCTGGCCAGGGGCTCCACTTGGGTCTTCTGCCAAGGAAAAAGCCGCTTCTTCTTGGCTCAGCAAGCTAGCAGAACTTTGCTTTTTTCAAGTCTCACGGCAACAGAAAGAGCCACGTGGCCACCAGAGACAGCAGCAGTCAACTGCCACCAAAATCAGCAGCCCTCCTTCCGTGAACGGGTCAGCTGGACACGAGGACGTCCTGCCTCTGCACTTGAGGCACACGCCCGCGCAGACATGCTCACAAAGCCCAGATCCAAATCCTGGGCTTCCCTCTTCCCGTTCCCTTCCTCAGTCTATGGTCTCTGCTCCTACTATGCGGCCCGTGGGATTTGTGGGTGGGAGGGAAGCCCGATGACATGACGTGTCCCATGGAGTGAATTGGCTCTAAGGCCCAAAGGATGTTGTGGAGCCAAAGCAGACCCTCCTTAAGGTTCCACTCGCAAACCCACAGAGTCCAGATGGCAAAGCTTTTCGGGAGCCTTATTTTCCCTCTCTCAAGGGACGGTGCAGCTTCCAGCATTTGTTTATGCTGGAATTTAACATCCTCAATGTGGACTCGGAAAAAAGACATCGGAGGCTAACCGGTTTCGAACTGAACTCTTTGACAAAGTTGTAGAAGAGAACAGTTGCCCAGGGCTGCTAATACTATTATTTCCTCATTAAAGGTTGTCCTAACAGAGCAAAGATTTGGTGGAAAGATAAAAACGCAGATCATAATAGAAACGTTTGCAAACACTCGTAAGTTCTCCCAGGGCATTCAAATGCCCCTTACAGGCAGCTACCATTAAAACTGGAGGACAAGAAAACAGAAATGCTTTTTCTGATGTGCTTCTCAGC